TTCATATTTGTACTAATGTTTGGTTTGCATTTTGTCCCTCCGCTATGTATACATATATATATATATATATATATATGTATATATGTATATATATGTATGTATATATGTATATATATATATATATGTATATATATATATGTATATATATATATGTATATATATATATATGTATATATATATATATGTATATATATATATATGTATCTATACAAGACTTGGAATCATGTGAGACCAAAGTTTTTCGTGAGACCCGTAACACCTTCTCAACCCTTGAATTAGATCTACAATCTGAACATTCATAATCACAAAATTGTCACGAGACTTCTAATAATCACAAAATTGCCACTGTACAACTTTAGACCATTAGATCATTAGTTTAGAAAGTTAATCAATGAACATAAATTGGTCTTACGGGTCTCACAAAAAACTCTGGGTCTCACGTGAACCCAACCCATCTATACAATTATATATATATATATATAATCCAAATTATTTTGAAACTCTCTAATTGTTATAAACTATACAAATCAAACAATTGAGATATTTATAGACAACTATAAGAATTCATTTATTATGATCGAAGATATTTATAGAAGATGATCAGATTTCATTAATTACGATCAACTATTTAAATCAGGAAATAATCAAGATATTTATAAAAACATATATTCATTAGTCTAGATGAATGTTTGATATTGATTTATATGGTTTGCAACAATTAAAAGTTTGCAAAAGAACGAGACTATAAATATCTATGTATATATGTATATTTTCATGCACTATGTCAACTTTTATCTGATACGGCATTGCCAACTCATACGAATATGTATCGGTAGGTTCAAACACGGAAATTTTGTTCGGTAATTATAGACGGATTTCTGACGTATACGTAGACCATAAATTAGTATTGACGAAGGATTATTGTCAAAACCTCCTTGCTTATATGTCGTTGAAGTACTATTATTATTGATAGATCAGTGACTGATTAGTGCGTGATGGCCTCTAAATTTGTTGTTGGTCAACGGCTTCCTTTTTATATTCTATATTCTTTATAAAGTTTGACGATAATACATAGGTAAATAGTATATTTTATTGACAGATCCACGACAAACTATTTTTTTTTATTAACCTGGATATCCAACCCGCTATACAAGGTGACTAATCCCAATACGACTACTTGCTTTGCAGATAGCCCGAAGTCATCGTATTTGAACCTCCGTGGCCACAAGAGGATTTTTATTCCTATGTGAATTTGAACCTGGGATCTCCAGATACTTTTGATCTTTGGAGCCAAGCTCAAACCAATCAGGCATCATCCTTGTAATTGACAAACTATTTTTTATGTCGATTATATAGATATTGTATCAATACTAGCGGGTTTTTGAAAAGAAAATATAAAGCATAAAAATTAAATGTTATATTGATGGACAATGTATTTGTATGTATTGTGTATCGAGACATATTGGATTGTATGTATAGACTATACATGCATACACACTATACATATACTCGCGTACATACATAATAGCTAGAGGTACACATACTACCTAGCTATTCATACATACTTACATATACACATCATACATGTACATGAATACACATAGATACATACATCTATATACACATGCATATGTAATGTATATATGTGTACGTTACATATGCATGTGTTTGTAAATACTTAATTGTTTAGTTTTTTTATAACATATGTCAATAATTTAGACATTTCCAATGGATTTCGACATTATTCATTGATAACTTAAGTCAACCAAATTGTCCTGATTTCTCGTGTATGTTCTCATTAAGAATCCACGATCAATAACTTAAAATGAGATCAACCCTGCATTAGTGCATGAGACGTAGATATATTGGGGGACTTTAAAAGACCAGGTACGTAAGGATACGCATATTTAAGTTTATATAAAACTACCCCCCCCCCCCTCTATAAGTCACAAGTTTGAAATAATTAATGTTATTAATTAATGAAATCATTATCATTATTTATTAAATAAAAATTAATGCATTTTCTTTGGAAAATTCACTACATATCTGTTTCTCTATCTCCTCACCTCTGTCTGTATTAACATACAAATACGTACAATTAAATGTGAACAAAAGGTTAATACAAAGTAAACAACCTTAATAAAAAAATTTAGTATGGCGTTCACAATGTGTTCCCAAGTAATAAGTTTAGATTTATTTTTATTGATTTAATCATGGTTCTAACTAACTCGTTATGACATGTTATGGCGTCAAAGCTTGAGTTCGCCTCCACGTTAACCCCCATGGCTTCATTCTAAAACTTGGTTTGCATTGTAACGCGTTATGATGCATTAAGACTTGTTATTATGTAAGGTGTGAGGTTACTTTAATATATAACTTGAGGGATAAATGATAATTATGTACGAGGACTATATATGACTTATATAAACATAAAAAGGAACTTAAAAACTAAAACCTTAAATAGGTAAATGCTTAAAAAGAAATAACACATGATGCACAAGTTCTCAAAGTTATCACAATTTCCTGAGTTCATAAAATAAGCCCCCCCCCCCCCCCCCTACACCTATCTATATATATGTTGTCTTATGACACGCATTGAAAAACGTTGTGGCCTCGTTGTTACGCGTAAGACTTGAGGCTTGACCTCGCCACCACGTCACGCCTTACATCATTTAGAACCTTGGATTTAATTGATATTCACAATATCTTCACAAATATATACAAAATCTCATAGATTTAGAGGCGTTCAGAATGTGATCACAAACTACGTTTAATATATTTTCAAGAAAGTATGTTATGGAAAGAAAAAACAAGAGAGAAGAGAGCGATGGATTTTTAATTTATATTATATTTTATTTTTCAACTAATTTTTTAGATTTAGATTAGATCTCACGAATAATAAAATTCTCAAATGTCACCCATATATACATACATATATATATATATATATATATAGATTTGGGATCATGTGAGACCAAAGTTTTTCACGTAAGACCCGTAAACACAATTCTCAACCCTTGGATTAAATATATATATATATATATATATAGAGAGAGAGAGAGAGAGAGAGAGAGAATTAATTAATAAATAAAAGAATATATCAATCCAAACGATAATGAGAAAGGAAAGGTGAAAGTGGTCCTTAAAACACATAGACAAAAGAAAACAAACACATTACCTTATCATCACTTGTATCCCTTGCCTCTATATCACACATCATCCATCCACGCATTTAACTATTGTACCGTACAAACCGTTTCAAGCTTCATGTTTTCGAACAAATATGTATGAGAAAGCAGTTAAACATTGTGTCGATCTGAAAAGAACAGTTAAAAGTTTACGCTTGTTGCTTGAAACTATCAGTATGTGGTTGTTGTTATGCAGTTAAAAACAATATTACATCAAAAAAATTGGAGATTTTTTAGATCGGATAAAACTGAGATCGAAAATATAATCTAACTAGCATCAAGCTAACATATTAAAACAAATTAATTATGTTGATTGTAAAATAAATAAAACTGTTTGATTAAATAAATTATTTACATGAATTTTTTTAAAAGAAGCATAATATCTAATTGTAATTCTTTGTAGAAACAATATAATATGAAGTTACACGCAGATAGATAGATATATATATATAGAGAGAGAGAGAGAAAGGTGAGTTATTATGCAATCTTTTACATTTATACAATTAATACAACTCAATCTCAACTGTTCATTTAATTTGACGAATATGTGATTTCATAAAAGTTTTGATTGTTTCATAATATAAAGTATTGATCATAATTAATGAATCATAGTCATCTTCCATAAATATTCAAATCATAATAAATGTATTCTCATCATTTTCATAAATATCTTAATTGATTGGGTTGAATCGGTTGTACAAATATAATCTATGTGTGTGTAAACTTTAAATCTTTAATTATTTTTCTTGTTTAAAATTGGTTTTTAACCTTAATTGTTGATATTTTTTTCAATTTTTCTTTTTTAAATTAAAATCGGATTAAAGATAGTGTTTAGGCGCTATATATATATTATACATTTTTTAAAAATCAAAATCAGAATATAAAATTCTTGTAATTAAATTTCAGATATAAATTAAACTCTGATCATGATATATTAATAATTTATGAATAAAAATACAAATTAATGGTTTGACTTTACTGAAATTTAGGTTTTAGAACTAATAAAATACAAATATTTATTCGAAACTTTGTTTTTGTTTTTTTTTTTATTAGAACACAAAAACATCATGATTTGCTATAAGTAATTTAAAGTTTTGTACACAATTCGCTATACTATCCGACTAAACTCAAAATGCCTACTCGTTTCGCGGATAAACTGGAGTTACCGTATTTGAACCTTCATGGCCACAAGAAGATTTTTATTCCTTTCTTGGATTCGAACATGTAATCTCCCGACACTATTGACCTTTGGGGTTCAAGCTTAAATTACAGTTCTAAAATTAAACTTCTTACTTCCTTGTCTTGGTTTAAACATTTTTTTTAAATAATTATTTGAATTTCAAATTTTGAATTTTTATATGTTTTAAAAGGTGAGGTAGCCTAACCATAAAGGTGGTGTCTAATTGGTTTGAGCTTGGCTCCAAAGGTCAAAAGTACCATGAGGTTCCAAGTTCAAATCCAATGAGGAATAAAAATCCCCTTGTGGTCACGGAGGTTCAAATACGTTGACTTCGGACTATCTGCAAAGCAGGTGGTCGTCCTAGAATTTAGCGGGTTGGATATCCAGATTAATAAAAAAAAGAAAAAGGTGAGGTAGCCTAGAAAACACAAGAAAGTAGAAAAATGTCCCTAGCTTGTCACCAAGAAGTGAAGTCATGAAATGGTGGATCATGGGAAGTGAAGGTCTATCACAATGATACATATATGTGTGGCTCCAACTTTATCTTGTCAAAATATATCATTGTTCTTTCATCATTTCTTCAACTGGCACAGCATTTTGTAGATAGGGTTTGTCAATATATATTAGGGTTGTGTGGCTTCTTTTTTGCCTTTAAACTTCTTCATTGGTTGATATGTGACACAAACACAACACACACACATACATATACATATACATATACATCTATATATGTATATATTCATGTTTCTTCAACTCATGTGAATGCCCTAATTAAGCAACTACATATGTACCATTTGCTTGCTTGCTTGCTAGCTAGCTTGGTACTCTTTCTGCAAAGTGGGGTTTAATTGACACTTGGTGTGTTCTTTTTTAGTGTGCTTTTGATCGGTATAGATGACTCCGATTTACTTAAATTCGTCATCGAATGATCAGTACAACGAACACCAATTCTTGAGTCCTACTGATCACCGCAACGAACACCAATTTCTGAGCCCTCATTCTCAAGCTTCGTCCTCGTCGAATTCTCTCACTTGCCATCTTTTCTTCAACCCTACTATCATCAGTGATCAAGATGGGGGTTTTCATAGCGAACCTCAGCCATCACAACTTGAGGTAAATCAAAAATGGGGTTTATGTTTCTTGAATTTATAAGGGATTTTCTTGAAATTTTGTGTGGTTATATATTCCCAAATCAAGAATCTTTAAAGTTCAAGGTTTCTTGATCATTTGTTTCTTGAATTAAAAGGGGTTTTTCTTTGTGTAGTTTTCGATTAAAGAATGTTGTTTTTAGTTTAAGGTTAATTGATCACTTTCTTTCTTGATTCTATGTAGAGCGATACCTTCGGATCACAGGCATACGATGATCATTGTGCAGCGAATCAAGACGAGATAAGCAAGAACAATGGTGGTAGTGGGCTTAAATTTTCTTTATGGAAGAGGGAAAGTAGTTATGATACGAACTCGAACGATGAGAATCGAGTGAAGTGGATGTCTTCCAAGATGAGAGTAATGCTTAAGATGAAGAAATCCGATCATCCAAAGAAGCTAAACACTTTACAATCAACTGCTGCTACGGAAATGAAGCTTGCAGAAGATCATCATGATCATAAAGAACCAACATCATCTCCAATGGAAGAAACTGCCAACTCAAACTCAAACTCAATCAACAGCACTTCTTCAAACAACACCAACCCAATTAGGGTTTGCTCTGATTGCAACACCACCAAGACTCCTCTTTGGCGAAGTGGACCTCAAGGTCCTAAGGTATATATATATAACCAAGCTCTTGCAGACTAAACCAATTTTTCTCTTTTTCAATTGCTAAACACCAACGGGGAATGAGGGTTCGATTCCAGACATACACAACAATTGTAGCCACTGAGTTTATAAGCACTGATTTCTTACAGTTCATACTTTGCAACACCCTTAAAAAAAAAGGGGGGAATGAGTGCAAAGAAGCCATATATAGTTTGTCATCTTTTTATCTTTCTACCCTAAATCTCCATGATCTTTCTTGTGTAGTCGCTCTGCAATGCATGCGGAATCCGGCAACGAAAAGCAAGGAAGGCAATGGCAGCGGCGGCGGAAACCAACAAGAACACTTTGATCAATGATAAACCAACATCATTGAAAGCTACAAAGATTCTTCATAAAGATCACAAGAAACCAAACAATGGGCATGTCAAGAAACGACAATACTCGAAGCAAACAAACACGATGAACCCTGCGTCGCCATCTTCGTCTTCTCCGGCAACAAAGAACTGTGTCGAGGAGTTCTTAGTAAGCTTAAGCAAAAACTTAGCATTTCATCGTGTGTTTCCACAGGATGAGAAGGAAGCTGCAATCTTATTAATGGCACTCTCTTGTGGCTATGCTCATCATGAGTGACTGAATAGCGAACAGCCTCATGGATCTCTTCTTTTTCCTAATAATCAGCACTGTTTTTATTCTTACTTTCATTTTCTTTGATTTCATACAATGTTTTTGCAAGTGAGCTGTAGCTATTCAGACTTTGTAATCTTTTTTTCCTTCAGCTGTCTAAGATAGGGTTTTAGAGCTTAATTGTGTGATAAGGACTTTGAGAGATTTAGTAAAATTAGGATAATAAATTAATGAGTATGTGTAAACTATATGCATGTTTTGTAAGGATATGATGGTAATAAGACTATTCATGGATCAAGCTATTTATGTAGTTATTCTGTATAAATGCTTAGAAATTAAACCCAAAAAGGTTAAGCTTTTTGCTACATAGATATTGGTGATTAATTGCCGATAAGTTAAAAGGCACCCTATAAATCGTTAAAAGGTGAATCTTGTTTGGAAAAAAAAAAATATGTTTCTTAATGGTTCTGATACCCTCTGAATGATTTTATATCTTGTGTCTCCCTTAATCATTCAGTGTCATAATTTCATTGTAAACAAATTATCAAATAGTTATATTTCGTTTTGCACTATATCATGAGAGTCTTTTAATCATTCCGCACTAAATCATTTAACAACTGTCAAACAACCACGTAACCTAAAATTGTTATGAAAAAAATATCAACTAATTGTTTATATGGATACAATAACAAAAATCATTTATATGGTATTTTTCTTAGTTAAATCTTAAAGATTTTTAATAAATTCACACAATTATCGATCCAAAATTTCTCGAATTGGAATCAACCATTTATTGTGGATGATTAACGTTTAGCGTTGTGAATGATATGAATTGTGAATGAGGATAAAATGGTTATCACAATAAAAATCCTCGTTGTATATGTGACACGTTGCTTAAAATATATGTCAGTTAATATTATCTATAATTAAATATATATTGTACATATTAAATTTAATTTATAAGAAAAATATTCTTTCGTTAAAACTTTTAAAAGATATTATATTTTGAAAATTAAAATTAAATGTTCATATATAATTTCTCTTATTGTCACATAAAATACAATATTTTCTTCTTGTAAATTTATAATTTTTTTTTTGTAAATCAGTAATCATCACTTATAAAAGTATTAGGGTTCGTTATCAAACGCTTATCCGGGTAAACATTTATCAAATCACATTAGCTTACTGGATGAATATAATAAAAAAATAAGAATTTTACCCAGTAAGAACGAGACAAGGACCAAGAGTCTTACCCGATAAGTAAGCGCTTACAAGGTAGATTGTTGCATATATGATTTCTTTTTTAGGGTCTAAAATCTTACCTGGTAAGTAATTTATAGTGTTGAATTTTACCGGTAAACGCTTACTGGTAAATATTTGGTAAACGACCCCTTATTTTTAGTTGTATTCATATATAATTTATAAAAAGATTATTTAGAGATTTTATAAAATTAAATTATTTAGAAAATAAAAAGCAAGCAAAAACGACAGTTTTTGGGTACTTCGTTATCGTCCTGAGAACTGCATGCAACGGTTGCTGGCATCCAAAAAGTCATTGGGTACTTCGATCTCCATGTGGAAGAGGGTCCGAAAATGGTTCACAACAAGCCATGCACTAATGCACAAAAATAAATCATGACCTTAATTTAGATTCTATATATATATATATATATATATATATATATGAGATAAGATTTAGGGTTAAAATCGTAAAAAAATAAAAAATTGAGGAACACCTTAATTGATACTCGTTCATCCGGACGGTATGTACATGTGTTTTTTAAGCAATTTGTCCAGTATTCAATGTGCATAACAAACACACATGCATAAAAATCAAGTAACAGTTTCAATTACTTATATACACATGTGGATACCTTACAGATGAATGGTTAATAGGGTGTTCTTTAGTTTTTCATTTTTTGTAGGGTTTTCCCGACCTGAACACACACACACATATATATGAAGAATGATTCAAACGAGAGTACATTCATTTTATGAAAACATGAGAACATTCTTTTACTATTGTCAATTACATATAACATTGAAGTTCATCACATGTGATATCAAAATAGAGACGTGGGCGACATTCCAACGCATCACTGGATCCACTCATATGTGTTATCACATGTGATAATAGCGTTCTTGTATTTTCATAAATGAATGTGTTCTCATTTGAATTTCCACCTATATATATATATATATATATATATATATA